CTATAAAAGGAAGAGTTCTTTGACGAGGAATAAATCTACTACTCCGTCAAATAATGAGAAATGTTGCCAGGAATGTGGTTTATATGTGAATGACAATGAAGACATGTGGATTGGCTGTGATAATTGTACTAATTGGTATTACTATACTTGTCTTGGTTTGAGTCACATCCCCAAGGATGATATATGGCTTTGTCTGTATTGTGAATAGTATTTTGTAATCATCAAGAACATCATTACATATGCATACATTAAATTGATGAGAAAAAATTTAATTAATAGTTATTAACGGGATTGCCCCAATGGCTGAAAAAGCTATTACTCTACTTAAATGCTACTAACTTTTTTTGAAGAAAGAAATTTTAAATAAAAGTTTCTGTGCAAGTAGCTAAACCTTGCCTGCTACTGTGTATTAAATTTCATGACTATTCGGTTGATGGGTAAGATTTTATCAATATTTTATTATGATTGTATCGAATTTATGGCGAGATTGCCCCGCCCTACGTTATAAAGACAAATTTCACTACACGCCATAAGGTACCTTTTGTCAATTATGGTCACAAATTTGCTGCAGAATTCTTAATACAGGTTTGTTTCTATGTTGGCCCGTTTGTTCTCCTTTGAAAGTTGCCAACCAAAATGGCGACCGGAATTTATTTCATCCTAAACCACGCCTTACAACTGTAAAAATTTCTAATAATCTTCCTACGCAAAATTACGCAAACAATTTTCACTTCCAGTGGTCTATAGGGTGAAGTTGACACTGCAATGTCAAAACAATACTACTACATTGTATATGTGTATCTATAATGTGGTTTGGTACCGCATGATGTAAAGGTATAGCTTAAGATATACAGTATAAATAAAACCTTTAAAGCATAACTATCGGCCTTACTGATTCCATGTTACTCAAGGTGAGTGACTGCCATTGTGCATGACTCAACAATGGCATGGGTGCAAATTGAATTAAGTGTTGAAAAGTTGCTGCATCATGACTCATGGCAAAGCCAATGTCATATCACTCTATTTTTGCATATAAACAGGTAGCTCTGAGGCGGCAAGGGGGTGTGGCAAGTAGTGTTGTGCTAGTTCCAACGGAACTAGAACTAAATCTATTTTAGTACACCTATTTTTTTCCTAGTTCTAGTTCCAAGAACTAGAACTAGAACTGAACTACATTGATACAAAAAACCAAAACTAGAACTAAAACTAGAATTTGACAAATTAAAGCACTGGAACTAAACTAGAACTAAAGATTTAGCTATTAAGAACTTGAAACTAAAACTAAAACTAAAATGTGCACTTGTAAATCACTAAAACTAAAACTAGAACTAAAACGCTACCCTTTTAATAACTGAAACTAAAACTAGAACTGAAATGGAGCCCATTTAATAACTGAAACTAAAACTAGAACTAAAATGGTACCCTTTTGAATAACTAAAACTAAAACTAGAACTAAAATGCTACCCTTTAAGTTATTAAAATTAAATTTCATTAAAAAAATTATAAAAATCACCTAGAAATGGTGTATTAGTAGGACTAAAACTAGAACTATAAGGCCAGAATCAGAATTTGGCATGGAACTAAAATTAAAACTAAAACTAAAACGGAAGTACTAGTAGAACTAAAACTAGAACTGAAACTAGAAATGAAGTACTGGTAAAACTAAAACTAGAACTAAAACTAGAAATGGAGTACTGGTAGAACTAAAACTAGAACTAAAACTAAAAATGGAGTACTGGTAAAACTAAAACTAAAACTAGAAATGGAGTACTGATAGAACTAAAACTAGAACTAAAACTAGAAACGGAGTACTGGTAAAACTAAAACTAAAACTAAAACTAGAAATGGAGTACTGGTAAAACTAAAACTAGAACTAAAACTAGAAATGAAGTAGTTGATAGAACTAAAACTAGAACTAAAACAGAAAATAGAGTACTGCACAACACTAGTGGCAAGACAAGCTCTTCAATCAAGCATAGATATTAGAGTTACAGGGATAGGAAACTTCCTTTCGCAGGAAATCAAGCTACCTTCCCCATACCGTATTAATTCTTTCTAATTGTCAGTAAATTTCATTTTTACACTGAGCAATAGTGGCTAGTCTGTGATGTTGCAGGTCTTTCTCATCGTCTTTAAGCCTGTTCAGGTCCACTGTATCAACTTGAAAATGAACTTGTAATGGAGCCATGTCCATATTCTTCCTTTATTTTAGCTATCTGATGTTTATTTTATTATTTGGGTCCTCAAAATTAGAATGTTGGTAATGCATCACTTTATTTCATGTGTCTCAAACAAAATTTTTTTTGAGGTACTTAGAGTATTTTAAAACAACTGCTAATGGGTGGAAGACCCGGGATAGGTTATATAGACTTTCTGTAGATGGGGCCCTTTAGGCACTAGAACGTCCTTCTTGAGATAGGCGTGTAGAAGCAAAACACAACAAATTTGCTTTATTTGTGTGCAAAACACTACCAAAGTGACGCACAGGACTGCTTCGAGTCGGAAGACCTAGAGGACTGCTTGTAGAATCAGTCTACCTTGCTAATCATGAAGTATTTAGAAATGTGTTTGAGATACAGATGACGAAATGCAAAACAAAAATTTCGGCGTCATTTCATGAAGATGTGATGTTTTATAAAGTAGACACACTAGTCTATCACAGTTTATATTGAAGCACTATTCTAGAGCAATAATAACGCAACATAAAATCTTTGAAAAAGGCTTTTATCAGGCAGAGACAGTAGAAAATATCAGCCCAGACAGCTAATTGCCTAATTTTTGGGCTGCGTAAAAGGGAAGGGAGCATCAGAATTATCCCGTTGCTAGGCTACAATATAAACTCAATGGGAATAATAAAACCGCAATTGGAAGTTTCCTGTCCCTGTAACTCTAATATCTATGAATCAAGGTAGATGTAACAAACACATGAGGACCAAAGCTCACGTGGACACTAATCCATGATAGTACAAAAAAGTACAATAAAACAAAGCACCTAATTTTCAAATCTAGCTTACACTTCAAGAGAAATATCTAGCTTAGTTACATTTGACAAGTTGGCTAATTGAAAATGCTGCCATTCGGTCCAAAAATCTACACCCCTTCAAGCATGCAAGATTTGCAATCATGAATAAAAGATTGCTTACTTTGATAATATCAAGTCCTCCAATAAATTCTCCCTTCACATACAACTGAGGATATGTTGGCCAATTTGAAAATTCTTTCAGACCATTTCTAACCTAGGAGTATTAAATATACATGTAGTTTAGAAAAATTAAAAAAAAATATTCTAGAAAATACATGAACATTTCCTTATAATGAAAAACCTCTAAATCCTGTAACACATCAAATGATGAAAAATCAGCATTTAAATTTTGCAGAATGGATACCATTTGCTTGCTAAAGCCTGTAAAATATAATAAGCAACTCCAATTAATTTAATTCTTACCACAACGAGGGTGCTCGGGGGTTCCCTTCATAAATAAAACACAAGATGAAGCAGAAACCAAACTTTTCAAACGAACATTCAGAGCCTACAAGTCATAACAGGAGCCAAGATAATAGAAAAAACAATTAGCTAAACACCTACATTAAAACCTACATGTATGCCATTTGCTTTATTTCAAGAAGATATTTATATCAAATAAAACATGCCAATTAACAATGAGGCAAATAAAAGATAAAAGCAATTATTATGGAGCTGTCATATGCATGTCAATTAAGCAAGCTTTCATACAAATATATATGATTGCTGAAGAATTATTTGAACCTTTTCATTACTACTTTATTTGTTCAAATTAATGCACTATTCATAATTATTACACCTTTACATGGCTTTCACAATAAAATTTTTTTCTATTGAGTGAACCGAACCTACTGGTCAAGATAATCATTTTTTTGGAAGTGCAATGTAATTAGAAAGTCCCATTGTTTACAGACATTACATACATGTACATTGCTATGCATCTCTAAAGTAGCACCTCCTTGAGCAATTCATAATTATTCCTATTTAAACAATGCACCACTTGAGACATGTATCAAGAGGTCTTTTAATTGGAAAGATTACAATAATAGTAAGGCTTAGGTGTGCTCATTGACAGAAAGAAACATGGCACAAGCAAAAAAGGGCATTTTCAAAGGATATTTCTCAGTAAATAAATTTTGGACAATGGGAGTTGGCACACTTCATTGAAATGTTCACAAAATCACAGTTACTTAATAAATACCTCAAAATATCATTTTTGCTAACCTATAAGTGGGCCAGCTTAAGCCCATTTATCTTATGACACAATAAGTAACATACTTTGCTCTAAATTTAGTACATCTACCAATACAAGATTAGCCATCAGTACTACCAATACAATATAGCTATTATAAACTGCTAAATTTGCACTGCAATAGAAGCAGTAATGATGTGCTGGACGTAGTATACCTGAATTGGCAAAAGGACTCTGGGTATTGGTGTACTTTTGAGAAAGAACATCATTACAAGTAAATTTCCTCAAGGAGCAAAAAACGCCTCACATTCTCTTCTACTAGCAACATGAACAGCTTCGTACTCTTAGTAACTAGTATAAATTAAACAATAATTGAGATACCTTTTGTAAATTATCTAACGGTTTAGCCACATCCACAATATTTTCACCTAGAGATTGAATTTTCCGAGAAATATCTGGTAAATTAGCTCCATTAATTCTATCAACTACTTCTCCATCCTGTCAAAATACAAAAGGATAGAAGAGTACTACACAGAGAAATGTACATGTAACTAATAATGATAAACTAATCAAGACGATAATAAATCATGATTTCGAACTTCAGCCATCTAGCCTACATTGAAACTTATAACAAAAAATATGAAATAACAAGTTACAAAGGGTACACATAATAGCTAAAACTTATAGGTGATTGGTACAAATTAGATGTACCACTGACTATGCAAAGAGAAAGATACAACATAGGCTACACATCAAAACAAATTGGTGGTATTACAGCTATTTGGAATCCAAGGGCAAAGCCTGAGTCGTTCCCAATAGCTGTAATCACAAAAATAGGTGATTTAAACTAATTATGAGGTCGTGATTATGAATATATTTGCATGTATGTATTAGTTAAAGAACGAGGGAACCATGCTTTAATTGGCTTGTAGTGATTGACTTTCAGATGAAAGGAATTCTAAGAAGAACCTGACCTCATGACATTTTGAGGGCCAATCTTAGTGGGAGAAATATTCCAATTGGCAAAGCAAAGTAGTAGCCAACGTAAGGGCAGCCATTTTGTTTACTCCTGTGAGTGCCACGTGAGAACTAAAAAACACATAAGCATGTGGTCACCACAGTGATATTCATAGAAGATCGGGCAAGTGTCTCCATATTTGGGGATTTTCCCCTAGATTTGGGGAATTTTGCCCATCTGGGGATTAGGGAGAGGATTTTTTTAAATTACCCAAAATCTAGGGATTTTTCTCATGGCCTTAAATTAATGATATTTATAAGAAAATAATTATACTCACAGCATAATGAATTATATTCATGGTCAAAAGAGGTGTGGTTTCAAATAATTCACAAAGGAGTGGTCAAATCTACAAATTTTGGACATGATTAATAAAATTTTAAGGATTTTTATGACACAGTCTAGGGATTTTTGTCAAAATTTAAAATCTAGGGATTTTCGGGGAAAAAATTTGCCTAAGCTAGAGGATTTCTAATTAATGCCCTTGGAGACACTGCAATGGGCACAAGTGTGCCCCACTATAGCTATGAAAAATTATGGATACATAAAGTAAGGCAGTCTTGGCATCTGTGTCCTTCCTCACTTGAGGCTGAAGTGGAGAGGATAGGCTTTCTCTGGAAGGTTATAACTTCTAAAGGGTCAAAGTTCAATGCCCAGTAATTTCTGGTACAGGAGTCCAATAAAGCTACAGCAGACAAGTCTTCCAAAGCTCCACACAGGACTTAACTATTAGTATAAAAATCGGTAGTGCTCCAAATCCCATACAGTAACAAGAGTGCCTTCACAGTACTTCGTGGAACATAGATGACTGAGTTTTTTAAAATGTCAAGTCAAATTTACAACAAATTTATGTGCTATACTATATTGGCTTGAGTTATGAGCCACAATGTACTGTGGAACACTAGCCGGATCAAAGCCATTTAGACAACCCAAACACAACTGTCTCGAATTCCTTTTAGAAAGGGTGTTTCATTTAGTCATCGCTGCCCACGCACGGCCACAATGGTAATTTTTTTTTAAAAAGGATAATTTTAAAAAATCATTATAAAATTTATAAGTGATGCTATGAATTAATAATGAAGCACACATGTTGTAAAATGAATACACCTACAGTGGATATAATACACATGGCTGAACCTAAAAGAGTTAGAGTAATCAGGAGATATCCATTGTAGGTACAGTTGTTTGTGCAATGTTTTCAAGAAAAGCAAAAATCTGGCTTTTGAGTCCCACAGTAGCAATACTAACATCACTGACAGAAAAAGTTATGCTCTATAACATAATGTAATTTCATAACTGTCCTTTGAATATTGTAGCTCATATACAAAAACAAATATGATAAACTTTGTCTACTTATGCATTCATTGGTAAATTTTGAAAAGTTAAAGGCCCAAATTATTTACGACATAAAAGTAATTATGGAGATGGAAGAAATTCCTGACGAACTAGTTATTAATTGGGATCATATGGAGATAAATTATATTCCGGCAAGTAATTGGACCATAGTGGAAGAAGGTGTCAATAGGGTGAAAATAGTAGGATTAGGAGATAAACAACAACTAACTGTAGTCTTTGCATGTTCACTGAATGGTGACTTTCTGCCTCCACAAGTAAGTCATTTATGCTGGAAAGACTCCTTGGTGCTTACCTTGAGTTTCCTTTCCGAAGAGCTGGCACGTGACATTTACTGAAAATCATTGGGCCAATGAACAGACTACTATTAATCAAGTAAGAAAGATTCTTCTTCCTTATGTTCAGGAAACATGACAGAAATTGTCACTTTCTCCTGATCATACAGCCCTAGTTATATATGACTGATTTAAAGGTCAATGCACTCCTACTGTTCTCCAGCTTATCTCTGACAATAATATTCAAATTGCAAATGTTCCAGCCAACCTTACAGATAGATTGCAACAACTAGACATAAGAGTCAACAAAGCTGTTAAGGATTGGCTACACAAACAGTTTTCTGAATGGTATTTAGAACAGGTGTGTTGTAGTGCTGTTCATAACAGCTCTCAGTCACAGCAATCATCAAAAAACACAGTAGTACCATCAGGATGTGGAGCTGATTTGAGTTTATCTACACTCAAACCATTGGGAGTTAAGTGGCCAGTGTTAACGTATAATCAAAAAAGTAGGAATTACATCAAAGAACAATTGCAAGCAATAAATAAATGTTACTTTAAAGTGTTATTATTATTAATATTATAAAAGCTAAATTAAAGTATTATTATTATTAGAGAAATACAAAAAAGGAAAGGCGAGGAAAAGCCCTATGAAAAAAAAAAAACAAAACAAAAAGAAGAAATAATATTAAGGAAAGAGTGAGACCTGTCCATGCACACCTGATGGAAGGATAGGGGAGCGGCTTAACCACATGTGGGCATTAGTGCACCACAGGACAACAGAAAGTCCCTGGAAAATGTGCAAGGACACCTCCTGCTAGTCTAGCCCCCAGCAAGAGGCTTGATAACCACTCTTATTGAGCCACAGCTTCGATTTGTTTCAACCAAGAAGAAGCGACAAAAAGCAACACGGTTAGCAAAACCTAGTAATGATGAAATAGCTAAGTGCATCGAAAGTTTAGATGATGTAGAGATTGAAGTATGTGGCATTTGTTTTCGTGAGAATGATGCAAGTTCCTATTGTGCTACTGTTGATTGGATTCAATGCTATGAATGTGACATGTGGTTTCACTCTTCATGTGTTGCTTTAGACAAGGAAAATATTGATGAGAATATTGATGATTTTATTTGTCAAACTTGTACTGATGCTTGAAGAAAATAACTTGCCATGAAATAAAACCAATAATTGAATATAAAAAATATTGAATATAAAAAATGAAGGGGAACCCAGCAAAAAAATCTTACATAAGATCTTACTTAAGATCTTATGAAACCTTACAAATGATCTTGTATGTTTAATCATGCCTGTTCTTGCAAGATCATTAGATAAGAAGTTCCAAAATCTTGCCAAGATCTTATGATAAATTATGCCAAGATCTTGTGATAAGTCTTACATGATCAGGCATGGTCTGACAATTAAGCAGTCAAGATCAGGCACTAAATCTTACATGAAAAGTCAAGATCAGGAACTAAATCTTACATGATCAGTGAAGATCAGGAATGAAATCTTACATTTTCAGTAAAGATTTGGAATTAAATCTTACATTATCAGTCAAGATCTGGAATTAAATCTTGTATGATCTTTTAAGACTCTTACTTGTTATGAACTAATATCATGAAGGATGTTGTAAGATCTTGTCAAGATCTTGAAGAAATAGTTAAGCTCAGATTTGGGATTCCAAGCATATCCTGTAGTATTAAAATGACTGCAATTGTAAGATCTGAGCAAGACCTTACATTGCGTAAATGCATAATTATGATGTTATTATAGCTTAATTAAGTTTAATTTTGTTGAAAGTTTGCTTTCTTTATATGCTCATACTTTTGTAAAGGCTATCGTGGGTTGTCAACTACTTCCTGTGACATCACGCAACTTGTAAGATCTTTTAAGATCTTGTATGACTTAAAATGATGTGAAGTGTAAGATAATTCATGTAAGATCTTAAGTAAGATCAGGCATATACATCTTATCAGTAATATTGTAAGATAAGTCATGTAAGATCTTGCGTAAGATCAGGCCTGTACATCTTATCAGTCATATTGTAAGATAAGTCATGTAAGATCTTAAGTAAGATCAGGCCTGTACATCTTATCAGTGATATTGTAAGATAAGTCATGTAAGATCTTACGTAAGATCATGCCTGTATATACATGTAGTAGCTAAGATTGATCCAAATAAGATCTTATAAGGTTGTTCTTAATTCTTATCTCACCTTACTTTATCTGATCAGATAATACAAGATCTTAGTAAGATTTTTTTGCTGGGAGTGACCGTTTAGTACTATATAGTGGGCGTTATGACCACGCCTATCAGTTCAAGTATACTGTGATACACGGTGCAATACAGAATGATAATGTACTGTCCCTAATGGCTAGTGGTATTTAGTCTTCAGCAAGAAAAGGTTCAAGGATTGGTGCTTGCTTGGATGTCGAGGCAATGCTAATTCTGGTAAGATACCCTGGTAGTAAAAGTCCTTTAGCTTGTCATATATTTCTTTCCAGAATTTCTTGTCAGCTGTAATATGTTGAACAGATGTTCC